TATATTTATATCGGGCTCTCAATTTTTTTGTAGCTTAAATTGTTGAAAAGATTTGCCACCATTCTAGGCAATGGAACTGTTGAATTCGAGATTCCAGGAGATATTAGACATCACAGCGTTGATTTTGGCATGAGAACAGATTACGAGAGAGAGATATTTGTAGAAGGTGCAGAAGTTGAAGTTGCTCCACTGTTGCCTCCACTTCACATCGTGATGCTTATTGTTGGGACGAGGGGAGATGTGCAGCCGTTTGTTGCTATCGGAAAACGTTTACAGGTAAGAAGTTTGTGTAATTATGCGTGATTTAAATTGTTTATCCCACACAGCTGTCAATTGCAATTGCCTTTAACTTATTTTGAGTGCCTGCTTTTCATTTTCTAGTAAGTCTATGAACAAGCATTACCACATTCTCTTTTCCTTTTATCACTTCATGTTTTACTTTCTTCCTCTTCTCATCATCTTTTATTATTATTATTATTCTATTCGAGGCATCACTTGATTTTATCCCTTTTCGAATCACCTATAAGTTGGTTTTTGTGGATAGCTTTTCATTTTTTTTCCTCTCTTTAACACTATTGAAGAACCAGAAATCATGAGTTTTTATATCAAATTTCACCAGAAAAACTTAAATCTGCCATTTTCAAAATCTAACGAACCATTAGGTAATTATTAGTTATACCTAGTGAAAAATGTGACTGAAANCAACTGAAAATACGGAAAAGTGGAATTTCATTCATGAATTTGTTAATAAACATTAATGGTCCAGCACTTATGGTCTATATCCAAATTCCATTGAATCCTGCACTTCATTACTTCAGGTTTGTAAGTTCCCCTGTAATTTTCAGGTTATCTTGACATTACCAGCATTGACTCCATTGTTGATCTTGTGAGATTTGCTGTTGAACAATTGATGCTGGAATTTTTTGGCAGGCAGATGGTCATAGGGTGAGACTGGCAACACACTCGAATTTCAAAGACTTTGTCTTGTCTGCTGGATTGGAATTTTTCCCTCTCGGTGGAGACCCAAAAGTCCTTGCGGCTTGTGAGTTAGTTACTCATATTTTAGCCTGCTTTTTACTTTCGTTTTGTCATTATAAGACTATAATAACCTTCGAGACTGTATTTGTGGTAAAAATTATACCACTTTTTATTTAGGGTGTACTCTTGTGAAAGGAAAATGTTATTTTTTCGCCTTTTCATTCTACAGTTTGTTTCAGTTGTTGAAAACTCAACCAATATGATTTTATGTGTAAAAGTGTGCTTCTTGTAGATATGGTGAAGCACAAAGGGTTCTTGCCATCTGGACGATCAGAAATACATATTCAGCGTCAACAAATAAAGCAGATCATTTTCTCTTTACTTCCTGCATGTACTGATCCTGATCCTGATACGAAAATTCCATTCAAGGCAGAGGCAATAATTGCAAATCCCCCTGCATATGGTAATAAATATAACTATATGTGTGTGTGTGTGTGCATGTGTGTGCGTGTGTGTGTGTTTGTGTGCATACAAGTTTTGAACTCTTACAAGATACTTTCCTTGTGGGTTGCATTGTTGTTAGTTTAATTGTTGTTAGTTTAATGGTTGAAATGTATTCTTCTACGGGGGATCACCATCACTTCTATTAGTTTAATCTTTTCTCATTTCCTCTTGTGCTTTTCACTTTTTCGTGAATAAGTCGAAAGTACTAGAAAAAGAAGACATACATTTGAGCTGAAATTGTTCTTTTTGTAACAAACAATAGTAGGAATCACTTAAATTTTGACAGTGTGAATTTGTTTTCTGAAAAAGCTGAAAATCATGGCTGAATCTCATAAATTTTTGCTCATAGGATCCATTGTTTATGAGGCAGTGCAGTGTTCTTCTTTATTCGTTCACAAATTGAACAAAATTTCCCCTTTTATTTCTGCACATCAGCTTTATATCCAATTATTATCAATATTTATTGCAAAATATTTAGATGAATATGAGCGGTTAATCTTAAACTCAATCAAGCAGAAATTGCAAATATTGTAGTATCTTTGCATTGTTTGTAGTCAGATTGCCCATCCAATTTAAAATGTGCCAAAAGATTCTGAACTGGTTTATTTTGAATATTTTGATCTTTTTCTTTTTAAAACTTACGCTTGAGGCTCTCATCTGAATGTGTATAAGCGTATGACTTTTTCAGGGCATACACATGTTGCTGAGGCTTTAAAAGTACCGCTACACATAATTTTTACTATGCCATGGACGTAAGATATATTGCATTTGTCTTTTGTTATCAGCCTTTACTTGTTTATTTCGTCAAAATTACTGAAGTGTTGACTTACAAAGTCCCTCTCCTTTTAAGATATGAAGAAAGTAAATATACATATATAGAATTGTAGTCTGATTACCAAAACCCAAATTTCATTCGAAACATTTCTAATATCTATTTGCTATTCGCTTTTTTGTTACAAATTTTGCTTATAGAGAGGTATTCGTGAATCAAAGGGAATTTTCTAGCTTTATCTTATTTTATGTTCTCAGTTGGACTTGACCTCGGTTGATTTCTATAATTAATGCTTTATTGACAATTAAGCTATTTTAGTAAATACTGATGTGCCCATTTTTGTCTTGATCATATAGGCCTACAAGTGAATTTCCACATCCTCTTTCCCGTGTTAGGCAACAAGTTGCATATAAAGTGAGTACATACCGATTGTAAATTCATAATACGAGTTTGATGCAAACTCCTTTAATTCAAAACTTTCTGTTTTGTATCTGCAGTTATCGTATCAAATAGTTGATGCTCTAATCTGGCTTGGAATACGTGACATGATAAACGAGTTCAGAAGGAAAAAACTTAAGTTAAGGCGCGTGACATATTTAAGTGGGTCTTATGGTTCTCATCCAGATACTCCTTATGCATATATTTGGAGTCCCCATCTCGTGTCTAAACCAAAAGGTAATATTGATGTAGATTGGGGACCTAAAAGTTAATGCAAATATCTTGAACTGAAATTAGATCAATTTAATTTATAATATTGATGTAGATTGGGGACCAAATATCGATGTTGTCGGGTTTTGTTTTCTGGACCTTGCTTCGAATTATGTGCCACCAGATTCACTCATGGAGTTCCTTAATGATGGTAAAGAGCCTATTTACATTGGATTCGGTAGTCTAGTAAGTATAATCTTCTTGTTCTCTGTCCTTTATTAGGTGATTATGTTTTTTTTTTTTTATTTGAGCAATGATACATGTACATACTTTCCCTCGAGGCTGAGTCCATTCAAATAAAATATTTTAATGGAGTCTGCCAAACCTTTATGTACAAATTATTATATACGTGTAAAAATACTTGTTATATTTGGTTTTTGGATATCAGCCATCAGCATATTATTATATCTTGCATTTTGGAATAAGAGTCACTCAAAACATGTTGTCTTCCTTTCCTCAGTGGCAGAGCCGAAAGACTTCATTTATTCACTGGATAATTGTCCGCACGATTGGTTGTTTACTCGATGTGCTGCTGTAGTAAGTCCCTTGTGCTATTTATTTTTTTATTTATTATTTTTTTTTTTTCATTTGTGTTATTTATGTATTCATTTTGTAGGTTCATCATGGAGGAGCTGGAACAACGGCTGCCGGGCTTAAAGCTGCAGTAATTTCCCTTCTTTTCATTACAATATGAAACATATTGTTATACTTATTCATACATTACATTTTTTTCTCTTTACATAATATATATATAGGATTTGGTTCAAATGAGAACTAAGTCCTAGCGTGAGAACCGTGAGAACCGCTATTTATAGTTGTACATAGTGCTATGATTGATTTATTCTAGTGCTATTTTTAAAATGGATCTATTTTCTTTAAAATAGCAACACAATTTATATTAGCATATGTGAAAATGATAGCACCATATATATATATATTTTCGCCTTTTGTAGTGCCCAACAACTGTGGTGCCCTTTTTTGGCGACCAGCAATTTTGGGGGGAACGGGTGCACGCTCGTGGGGTGGGCCCCGCTCCAATCCCGGTCGATGAATTTTGTCTCGAAAAATTGGTTGCTGCAATTCATTTCATGCTAGATCCTAAGGTATATCAAATCAAAGCAGTTATTATTTTTCTCTCGGATAATTATGGACATTCTCTTTCAATACAAACACGCACACAGGTAAAAGAAGGAGCTATAGAGATTGCAAAAGCCATGGAAAATGAGGATGGTGTAACAGGAGCTGTGCAAGCTTTTTACAAACATTATTCGAGTAGAATTCTAAAATCAGAATATGAGAAATCACATCGTTCTTCAAGGTTGTTTTCATTGGGACGTTGTTTCGGTGTGTAGACATTTTTCATTTTAGACAAGGGAATATTTTCTCTTTTCTCTTAACAAACAAGGGCGCAACTGCTGAATTCTGTGTTTTGGCAATTTATGAATGATTGGTTTTGAATAAGTAATTGATGTTTGTCATATGTATTATTCTTGCATGGTTTGCATAACTTGAGAAATAAGACACATCACAAAATAGATTGGAATCAACTACAGCATTGCATTGGTGAGCAGTTTGAATAACAGAATAGTATATCACCATCCATCCATATCTCCAACACTAAGCCCACAAAACTACAAGTTATTCCTAACCAGGTGAAGAATGGCCGCCATTGTGAAGGGCACCAATGACAATATCAACCTCGTTTTCATCAGTAATCACTTGTGCCATTATTTCGTCAATTGTAAAATTTCTTCTACAAGCATGCAAATAACTTAAAATACCACAAAAATGATTACGATACTTAGCCTAAACATGAGACAGAAAAACAATAAAACACGTCAAGCCCAGCCAACAATTTCTAAAAATGGCTGAAAACACATCCACAATCCGTATCCTTCTACCCAGAAGCCACAAAACAATCACCAAGTATCAAAAACCCCCTAATCACACCAGCTAAGAAACTTAACCACGCACTACTCTCAATGCTGTCACCGAAATTTCTTCTAGAAGCACGCAAATCACTGATTACAACTCTTAATAAAGACTCAAATAAGCATATATGCATGTCGAGCCCAGCTAAAAAATCGTAAAAATGGCTGAAAACTCATCCACGATCCATATCCCTTTACCACGCAACGTCGCAAACCAGAAAACAATCACAAAATATCAAAATCCCCTAAGAAACGAAACTCCGATTTCTAAAATAACACAAATCAGTTCCACTTCCATCTAAAACAATCGAGCACCAGCATCCAAGATCCAAAAACAACCCCACATCTCCAAACACACACACATACGCAACACAAATCATATGAAATTAGGGATATGGAGAGAAAGATAATGGAAACAGGCATACCAGAAATAGCTCGAGAAGAACGTGATCGGGGACGATGGAGAGAAGTTGATGAGTGCAGAGTCAATCGCGAGTGAGAGGAGAGAAGGCGGATTTCTCATTCATAAAACCATCCAGATGCATGATTCGACTCAATTTGTCGGTTATGCCTCGATTTTCTATACCAAAAATTTTCCCACAAAAACAACAAATTAACAGAACAAATTGCATGGTTCGACTCAATTTTTCAATTCCATTTTGGTCACCCCTAATTGCATCACTTCATTTAGTATCAACTTAATTTTTTGGGCCTACATATTTTATATAACCACAAGAACATACAACACAAACAAGAAAAAAACTTTAACAGCCACAACTAGGTTTCACTTTCATTAATACTCGTAAATCATTACATGGCAAACCTCATACAAAAATGTTTCATACCACACTAGCTTTAAAAACTTGAAAAGAACAAAAATTATTACCATGCTCACTTGAAATATATATGCCTATCAAAAGCTGTATAATATATCAATATGTACATTACAAGGACAGAAGAAGAGGGCAAAATGAANGAAAAAAAAAAAAAAAAAAAAATGAAAGCTCAAGGCTAAATTCAAGAGGATGTTTTCAGAAAATAACATCAGCCAGATTCATCTCCTCCTTATAGACTCACTCAGCTCTCATTGTTTTTCAAAGTAAGCAATAAATCTAATGCCAAATATCGTTTTACTCCAGCTCAACATCGCGCCATCTGAAAGCTCGTAAGCTACATCTCCCCATCGTCTCCCGACTCATCATCACTACTCGACGAACTATGATCATCTTGCTCGATACTTTTGTCCTCGTGTTTTGTACTTTTGTTGTTTCTTTCATCGTCCGAGCTCGTCCCTGAAAGAGGTGTATTTGGACCCGAGACGAGTCTGGCCGGGATAGGGGTCTCGGGTGGGGCCACGGCCAGAAAACCGAGATGTCGCTAATGAGGGGTCGAGCAAAAGGCTCGTCTTGGAGACACATGGCATGACAGCAACTCCAACCAACTGGTTTAGGCTCATCACCGGAAAATGCTCACGGAGTAGCGGGTCCGCCATGTCTGGGAACTTGGATGGGTCTCGGAATTTAGGTTGGGCCTGTTGAAATCGAGTCGAGTTAGAAGTGTGGTTCCTATTTCAAGAATTTTTCCCCCCATTTTTTCCAGGAAGCATTTAGGATGACAAAAAAGCTAACAAGAACTTGACTCAAATTTAATCGAACCGAACGAGCCGAGCTTGGGAATTTCGACCTCATTTTCGTTTACATCCGAATAGTCGAACGGTGTTCGTGTTCGTTCGTTTATTTTTTCGCGCAAAAAAAATCGTGATTGAGCTCGTTCGTTTAATTGTTCGTCAAAGATCGAGTTTGAATAATTTAGGACATAAACTTTTTTAAATATGTTTGATTAACTCGAAATTTGTTCGTTCGAACTCAAAAATAATAATAATAAAAAAATATTTTTGTAATTTATATTATTTATTAAAAATATCATGTAAATTAATATTAGCAAAAAAAAAATATATTAAAATTAATATTAGCAAAAATTATTGAACGTTCGCGAACGAGCTCGTGTTCGTTCGTTTACTAAACGAGCCTAATTTTCTGTTCAAGCTCAGCTTAATTAACAAAAGAAGAAGCTTTTTTCAAACACAAACGAGTTTTCGTTCGCGAACTTTCGATTTGTTAACAGCCCTCGAATTTGCATGATATGATATGAGGTGTTTTTGTGAAACAGAGCAAAGGAAGAACAAGAAATTTAATAACGATCACTCAAAACTCACCCAACTAACTAAATTTTGCTCGTCTGCTGGTCGTGAGGTGTCGAGGGCTCGACGTCCTGTGATGAGCTCTAATAGGATCACGCCAAAACTATACACATCGGATTTCAATGTCAACTCCCCTTTCATTTCGTACTCCGGTGCAGAATACCCATAGCCTGCCATCTTGCTGCCGCCAGCCTGGACGAGCTTAGCCAGCCCGTACTCGGAGAGTTTTGGGTTGTTGACCTCAGCCACTAAAATGTATGACGATTTAAGGTCTCGGTATATGATCGGGGGGTTGACTTTTTCGTGCAAGTACTCGAGTCCTTCAGCAATACCAAACGGGATTTTCATTCTAGCCGACCAAGTGAATGGCTTTCTCCCTGCTGGAAGGTCTGCACAAAATTTTGATTTCCGGTGAACATTTTACTGAAATCGAGAGATTTTTTCAGTAAATTACGGGGACTAAGGGTCAAAAAACTCGATTCATACTCAAAATCTAACTCAATTTTAACTCAACTCCATTATCATCAATATTATCAATATAATTAAATAATACCAACCAATCATTCTTACACATCCCATCAACTTTAATTTACTATTCATCAACTCACATAATTTTAATTAACTATCACATCACATCATCTCTCCTACTTTTACATCAACAACAACAACAACAACATAGCCTTTAGTCCCAAGCAAGTTGGGGTAGGCTAGAGATGAAACCCAGGGGAAACACAAAAAGACTCGAACCAAAAGGAAGAGATCGAAAGAAAGAAAACAAAAAATAATAATAATAATAATAAAATAAAAATAAAATAAAATAAAATAAAATAAAATAAACGGAAGAGAGAGAGAGAGAGAGGAGCAAAAGTCACGGTCTCTCCTACTTTTACATCAAATCAACTTTAATTATTTTATTTTAAATATTATTTTAATATAAAATCAAAATCTCACTAACAACTAACCATACCACTTTTTTCAAAATTAACTCTGGTTAAAAAAAAAAAACTCACTTTGACCGGATATATTTGTATACAAACACAATGTAAATTCGAGGTAAGACAACACAAAGGAAGATTTTATCAAGATTGGAAAGATACCAAATAGATGTTTATTCAAAGCACCCGATGGCATGTATTCATACACCAATATCCTTTGATCCCCATCAGCACAGTATCCGAGTATCTTGACGAGATTCGGGTGTTGGAAAAGGCTCAATTGCGTGACTTCGGTGGCAAAATCTTTGCCGGCATCCATTCCATTCCTGTCCAGTTGCCTAATAGCAACAACCTATCCTTAAAACATAGGACAAAGGAAAAAATAAATCCAGAAGCCAACTTTTCAGAAGCTTTTCATCTAATTTTATATGATTCTTTTTTTTCTTTGGTGTCGTTTTTTACCTGTCCACTCGGTGAAAGTGTCCCTTTGAAAACTCTGCCAAATCCACCTTCACCTAATAGATCTTGATGGAAATTCTTCGTTGCATTGGCATGCTAACGATAAACTGCAAATGTATGGTTACATTTCAATGCGAATGTAACCATACATTAGTATGGTTTACACGATTAGCAGATCACTACATCATGTGTTACAATAGAGGCAAAGATGTAGGCTCACGACGTGTTGAGCTCAGTTACACGATTATGTGTGATCCATTTTGCACACTTCACAGCTTGTTATGTGTGATCATACAAACGTTGTGTGGACCATACATGATGTGTGAAAATGAAAACATTATGAATACTAATGTGATTTTTAGGGGACACGACATCCTTTTTGCCTTTCGGGGATGGTCATACAACTGGACCATAAAAATATTAAATGAGCTGTGAAAATGTATGACCACTCGTATACATACATATATGTGATTTTACATATATGAAAAATTATAATGGAAAATAGTAGTAAATAGAGGCAAAATCGAACTATATGATTTAAGATAATATTTTACACGCTGGTAAATTATTTATATCATAAAAATCGTTACTCAGACATCATCGTGTTTAAAACCGTTTACATAATCGTGTTTAAAACGTCTTAAATCGTATAGCTATAAAATTGTTTATAAAATTGTAAAAACGTTTTATAAACTGCAGTTTATAACCACATTCTATGGTTGCCAAGAATGTGGTTGCCTAGACTCCGGTCAAAAATAAGTATCATGGGAAAGAAAGTACACATGGATGTGAATACATCCAAGACAATATATTGGTCAATTGGTCATTTGTAGTTCTGATCAGTCGTATTTTGCGAGATTTCTTCTTAACTGTGATCATTTGATTGCTCAATTGTACTCCTATTTGAGTTCTATGCTATTTTTTAGGTTTTCCTTAAAGAAGAAAAGAAAAAAGGGCAAGGGCTCATTCATTAGGTCGATAGGATATCAATACATTGCTTTCGTGAAATGATGCTTATTGGTCACGAGAAGGGTTGAGACATTTGATTATATGATTCAACTATAATTAGTGAGATTGGAGATCTGGATGCTGCATATCACAAGTTAGTTCACAGAGATTAACACTTAATTATATTGTAAATAATAAACAAATCTGACCTTCGTATTTTATACTCACGTGAAAAAAGAGGGAATCAGATCGAAATTTCCATAACTCCTGAAACATAGGGGAAAAAAGGCAGAAATTGTCCCTTATCTGGCAATCAATTTTCTCTCATGTTGTTTCTGAGTGACTCGTAGGAAATTTCCTCTCCTCTGAAAGGGCAAACATATTTTTTAACCTATAAATATCTACATTTATCACCAACAAGTTGCTTGAGGGAAAAAATATACAAAAAGTCCCCTACTCACCTTTCCTTTGCATGCAAGCAAGAATTTACTTCTCATTTTTCTCCCCTTATTTTTCCCAAAGCTACCATGTCGCCCAACTACGCTTACCAATTTCCAATTGAAATATTCTCTCTAAACAACATTCAGATGGCCATTCTGATATTAGGACTAATGGAGTTCATCTTGCTAAACTTGGTAATCGACACGAAAAAAATTTACAACTTCCTAGGATTTCACTCCTCCGCCCGATCTCAACTGATGACAGCTGATGATTCTAAGACCAAAAGCATGGATTTCACACCATCCACCGGGAAGGAAAATAGAGCTGACAAAATTTTGAGAAAAGGAGATATCGATGTCGTTTTAAGCAGCTTAGAATTGTCGTTCGATTCTGATGAAGGAAGATTTCCAGCAGTCCTGGGTGAAAATGACCTTTCTACCCTTTTCGAAGTAAAAGATCCCAACTTGGATGAGGTTAAGCAAGCTTTTGATGTGTTTGATAGTAATAAAGATGGTTTTATTAATGGAACTGAGTTGCAAAAGGTTCTGTGTGCTCTGGGATTAGAGGAAGGATTAGAGATGGAAAGTTGCAGTAGAATGATTGGGGTATTTGACCAAAATGGTGATGGGAAGATAGATTTTGATGAATTTGTAAAAATCATGCATTTATGTTGAAAAAAAATACTGCTACAGAAACTTAGAGCTGAGATTTATTTATTATTATTTGTAAGTAAACATACAATTTCTTAAGTAATTTTTGTTTTTCCAAGATTAAATCAGTCACCAACCTTTAATTTCACCAATAATCGCCACACGAGCAACGCCCGTTGCTAAAACTATGAAACCGGTTAACATCCCTCACAACAATCCGTCGACTCTCTAGCTTCGAAATGAACTTAGCTGCCGAGTGACAATCCTCACACATCCTCAGATTCTTGGCAACCCGAATAGTCGCTCCATGAGGCGTCCTCATGAGGGCATACGCTATGGCCAGCTTCTCACTGTGGTAGCTAAGCTGATCTTCCTTCTGCTCCTCCTCAACGTCATGAAGTTCCGAAAAAGAAACATCCGGAATGTATCCCATCTCTCTAATTCCCGACACTAATTCCCTCACCTTTTCCCGAATCTGGGCTGACTCAGCGTGCTCGTTATCATCCGAGACGAAAACGTGCGTCTCGTCCTTTATTTCCGTCCAGCTCAGCCCAGGCTCCTTCTTCAAATTGCCATCTTTCATTAATTTCCGTACGCTCGCAGCTTCATCCCATCTTGTGGCCCGCGCGTGCATATTGGACATAAGTATGCAAGTGCCCACATCATTAGGGTTCATGCCGAGCACGATTTTAGCAACCCGTTTTCCGAGCGCGTAATTTTTGTGGACGTGACACGCATTCAGAAGAGTCCGCCAGGCCACAACGTCCCATTTGACCGGGCTTGACCGCATGAAGCCCTCAGCCTCATCCAGCCTCCCAGCCCGGCCCAGAAGCCCGACCATGCACGTGTAGTGCTCTAATCCAGGTTCGACTCCAAATTGGGCCTTCATGCTATTCAAATAGTGAAAACCCTCATCTGCGCGGCCCAAGAAAGCGCACGCGGACAAAACTCCGACAAACGTCACGTAGCTCGGCTGTTGTTTCGCAACCAACATTTTTCCGAATGTGTCGAGGGCGGCTTCACCGAGCCCGTGGTAGGAGAAGCCGCTTATCATTAAATTCCATGAAATAACGTCTCTGAGGGGCATTTCGGTAAATACGTCACGTGCGTCCTCGATGAGGCCGCACCTGGAGCACATGTGGATCAAAGCATTACCAACAACAATGTGGCTTTTCATCCCGATTTTCACAACGCGCGCGTGCAGCGAGTTGCCGAACCCAATTGCCGAGATTCCGGCACACGAGTTGAGAACCACCGAGTACGTGCACTCGTTTGGGACAACAAAACTGCGGGCGGCGTCCATTTCATTAAATAATCTGAGGGCGTCTTCGTAAAATTCGTTTTGAGAGTAGGCGGTCAGTACTGCAGTCCACGTGACCTCGTTTTTCGTTCTCAGCCCATCAAAAGCGTCTCTCATGGATGGAATTTCGCCACATTTTCCGTACATGTCTACCGTAGCACTGCCCACAAACAAATCACGATCCAATCCCGTTTTCACTACTCTGCCGTGAACCTGCCTTCCTAAAATCTCATCTTTAACGCGGCCACAGACTACAAAGGCATTCACGCAAGTGATGCCGTCCCACTTGTCATACTTACAGTCAGTCGTCATCCTTTGCAAAACGCACCAAGCTAGTGTCAAATCCGTTTGGACTAAAAGCCCATTTAATACCGAGTTGTACGTGCAGATATCGGATGTTGGGCAATCATCCAGAGCCCGCATAGCCCCTTCCACATCTCCACACATCGAGTACATGTACACGAGCGCGTTCTTCACGTGTGGATAATAAATCAGCGCGGATTTCAGCCCGAACCCGTGGCACTGCAGGCCCTCGTCAAGAAGCCCGCAGTTGGAACACGAGGAGAGGACCATCGACAGGGTGTACTCGTTTGGGCGCAATTTATCCACTGTAAGCATGTCTCTGCACATTTGTATGACCTGTAAAGTGCAGCCATGGTGCAAATAGCCGGACATTACAGTGCACCACGAGACGACGTTCCTCTTGCGCATTCTGTCGAACAAGTTGCGGGCGCTGGAGATATCGCCGCATTTTGAGTAGAGATTTATGAGACAGTTTTTCTCACTGACGCGGTTTTGAGATATTTGGTCGGAGACGATGAGGTGGGCGTGGATGGTTTTGCCGAGCCTCAGATTCTTCGCAACCGCCGATGCTTTCAGGAGCTCCCGTACGTTCATATGGGACTTGTTACCTCCTCTTTCATACGGCCTATGATCAGTCTGACACGCCTCAATTACTAATAGAATCACTGACAAACTATGCAGGATTTCGAGAACAAATTCCGTCAATTACTATAAGTATCACTGACAAACTCATGCCAGAAATCTAAGTATCACTGACAAACTCACGCCAGAAATCTAAGTACCACAAACAAGCACAATATTTCCCAATTCAGAAACGAAAACCAATTTCAAATTCCTATCTATATTTCTAGACTAATTCATTCGATTACCAATTGAATTACTTACAAAATTGCGATAGAACCTTAAGCATTATCGGACAAACACAAGAGTTTGGGATAAATTCGAACCTGATTCGCACCAAATAAACCTCAAATTTCTCGGAATGAAAAGCGAAATGACTTCAAACTTACTTTTCAAATGGCATCGGAAATCTAACAATTAAACGAAGATGAACTTTGAAAAATACCTAAAGAGGTGTCGCGAGGAAGGCAATTTGAATTTGGCTTGTGAGTGAATGTTGAAGAGTGTTTAACAGCGGGAAATGTAAGCGGCCAACGCAAATGAGAGTACGTTTATAGAGAATGGGCAAATATGTAAATTGTGGAAAATCGTTCAACCCACAGGTGATTTTCACCATACGTTTAAACTGATTAGACGACATATAAATATATTTTATTTTGGTTATTATTGTATTTATATATATGTACTAGTATACTTTATGTATTTTTTGATTTACATAATGTAATTTGTAAATTATGTATGATAATATAAATAATTTTATTGATATTTTTACGACTCCATCTAGGCGTTTTAGGTGTCAAGACCTAGTCGACACATGATAAATAGTTGGTTAAATAAATAAGATTGGGTACCATAATTTCTGAACGTATATGTATGGTTTCACATTTTTATCACATACTTTAGAAAGTAACATAAATAAATATATAATATTTTTAATTTTTATATATCATTTATATAAATTTCCTTAAAAAGAATAATGGGTCATAGACTCATCGAATGAGTGGGCTGCATCACAACAATATTTGTGAAATAATAAAGCAAAATGGTATTTCAGACGTACTACTTTATTAATAGTACGAATTATTGTATGATCGAGCTAATCTAATCGTTAGGCTGATTAGATTAATATGGTAAACTTTATCCGCCGGCCACTTGCTGTCAGATGCCATTGGCCACTGCCTTGGTCAGCCATGAGTTCTTCTAATTCAATTTTTACCCTAAATAACACGAACTGATATAGTCGACGTTATACTTATATATAGTTAAAATGCAATGTAGAAATTGTATGGTTTAGGTAACTTTTCAAGCTATTTTGACATTAAAATGTTCTATTTTGGTACATTTAATATCTAATAAAAATACTTGTTCAACCATTGACTTATGTAAAACTGATGAATGAAACTTCGAAAAACCTCATAGACATATCCAGCCAACAAGTCATCCGTAACATACGAAACAAAAAACATATTCATATAGCGTAGATATTATGTCTTTATTGTTTGTTGTGATCTAGTCAAGTAGCAAGTGACATTGTTCAAAAGAATTTGTGTATGATTAATTAGAGTTGAACATAGACATGGCCACCGGGTCAACCGGCCCGCCGACCCGGTACGGACCCGGCCCGGTCTAACCCTTTGACCGCGTGTCCAAACCCGGCTCGGATTTCAAGCGGGCCGGTCCAGGGCCTTCTTTTTGTCGACACCGGCCCGGTCTAACCAATGTGATGTTGCTGCAAAGAAGCTCTCACACTAGAGACCTTTACAACTTACATATATGAAAGAAGCTCTCAAGAGAATGCATCAACTACTCAAACATGTATTTTAGCTCTGCATCTTTTCTCCTAAAATGCAAATAAAAAGAAAAATAACATGTTCATTCAATCCCCAGATGACCAAATAGAAGGGGAATGTAAAATCAGCACCCAAACATACTTCAAAGCTCAAATGAGTAACAGCAACAACTCAAAACGAACACTTAAAACAGCATGAGATCTTCTGACACCCACACCACACAGAATATATGCATTGTTGTTTTATACTTGGCAACTGCTACAGTGATTTTCATCTCAAGCTTGAATGGGGCGCATGCAATGCAAAAAGTTCTACACACACAAAGCAAAAAAACCAAGACGAAGATGCAAGATACCTTGGACAATGTATTTGCAGATAACGGGGCAACAGCGAGACCATCTGCCCGATCTATAAGTGGATGGTACATTGGATTGGTGGCGTCCGGGGTAACGAACTTCCAAAAATCCTCATCTGTGCGACATTGAGGCCTGGACCGTTGGATGAACGTGAGGCAGATTCAGTTAGGACAACCAAAACATCAATACCATTGTTTTCATCAAGCACACTTAGGTGGCTGCGGATATCCCACACGTTGGGAGCTGTTGACGAGCCAGATACGCCTAGGATAATGCGTCTTGGCCTACCAACTTCATCTCCAGTCTCAGTCTCAATCAAGCCAACTTCTTCTTCAACTTCTTCTTGTTGCTCACTGTTGTTGTGGTTCTCGGAATCAGAGTCGACGGGTGGAAGACCTTGCCAGGAATCCATCTAGGTTAAGGGGAAAAAAATGAGAAACAAGAGTAACTATGCAATGCTGCAATTGAAGTTTTGTTTTATCAACATGTTCACGATTTCCAAATATTAGGAATGTACTGAGCGGAAACTCTACTATATCATCTACGCAGAAGATCAAGTATCATTTAGATTCCAATCACCTGTATAACAAACTCACGAATGAATATTCAGTGTCACACACCAACACAGAATATCCCACCCAAATCAGGAACAAAATCAATTGTAAACTCTATTTCGTCAATTCAGGCAGAGACTTTCGAAAAGAATTCTATGGATTACCTCAAGAATCGCTTGCAGATTGCAGAACTAACCAAGTAATAAACCAACACTACGTTTCCTAAATCAGAAACACAGTCAATTACAAACTCTACTTCTTATGGAATCTACACAGGACTTCATAAACAATACCATCAATTACCACTAGAATCAGTGACAAAACTCACGGCAGACCAAAGTATGACAAACCGGAACAAAATGACTGCATCTTTGAACTTACAGCTTAAATTTTCAATTCGCAATTAAAACCCAACAATTAGACGAAGATAAACAGTGAAAAGTACCTGAAGAGGCGTAGCGAGGAAGGCCACTCCAAAATTTCATGAACAAAATCACAGATTCCAAACTGATAAATGCAACTCAGCCCAAACTACATCTATCCATCTACACAGAATTTTGAAAATATTTTACTCGACTGGAAAAATTCCTAAATCAGAAACTCATTCAATTGGAAACTCTATTAAACATCAAATCTACTCAGGATTTGGAGAACAAAGCCGACAATTACCACTATAATCAGTAACAAACTTATGCCAGAATCCAAAGTATTACAAACAAGCACAAAATTTCCCAATTCAGAACGCAATAAATTTCAATTTCCCATCTATCTTTCTAGGCCAATATATTCGATTACCACTTGAATTACTTACAAAATCGCAGCAGAACCTTAAGTATTATGGGACAAACACAAGATTTTGGGATCAAATCGAACCTCATTCGCACCAAATAAACCTGAAATTTCCAAGGAAGGAAAAGCGAAATGACTATAAATTCAAACTTAGATCTCAGATTTCTAATACGCATCGGAAATCTAACAATTAAACGAGGATCAACTTTGGAAAAAACCTGAAGAGAGAGTTGTCGCGAGGAAGGCGATTTGAATTTCGCTTTTGAGTGAATTTTGAGGAGTGGTAATAGCAGGAAATGGCGGCATAAATTTTTATGAACTTGCAAGATATAAATATAAATATAAATATATATACATACATATATATATATATATATATATACTAGACTCTGGATGATCTAATTTTCGACTATAGTTAGTTATATTCAGACCAGATCCTACATATGTTCATAATATCCACTGCATTTATCCCCAACATCAAAAAGAAGTTAATGTGAGTCAGGAAATTAGTACAACAACATTTCAGATCTTTTTCCAACAAGTTCCCAACACGAGATAGAAAGGCACGGGTGTTACTGATAACTACTACAAAGTCATGAAATGAGATACACTTGTGACTCCTTAGTATGTATTGCAGCAGAATAAAGGGTTAGATAGTTTTAGGCCGTCTGAGTATTGTAATTATAAACTACACAAGAACAAACAAGTCAGAATACCTGATTTATTAAGTATTTGTAAAAGCTCGGAATTGATTTACCAACCAACCAACCAATAACTTTGCTTCAAGCACAACTGTTTTATGTTCCGATGATCCTTAGATCCCTTATGATTTATCAAGGCAAAAGATGATTAATAGCAACCGGAATCCACCCGGCTAAAAGCTCGTTCCTTTTTAACTTTATTCTTATCCATCATTATCCTGATTCGATCCGCATCGTTCCATCTCTCTGCGTCCACATACATATTGTACAGCAGAACATAAGCTCCCGAGCTTTCTGGCTCAAGCCTCATCAATGCCTCAGCCGCAACTCTCGCCAGCTCCACATTACTGTGCACCCTACACGCCCCCAACAACGCCCCCCACACGGCCGAGTCAGGCTCCATAGGCATGTGCCTAATGATATCCATGGCCTCCTCAACCCGCCCATATCTTCCCACAACATCCACAACTGACGAGAAATGCTCCACCCGCGGCTCGATCCCAAAATCGCTAATCATTGATTTGAAGTAGGTTTTTGCTTGTTCAACGAGACCGCCATGCGCGCACGCGCTTAACACCGATATGAACGTGATGTAACTCGGTTTCACTTTGAAACGCTTCATCGACTCGAAAAGTTGAATAGCCTCCTTTGCAAAACCGTGGGACGCGTAACCACCTATCATAGCATTCCAAGAAATGACATCCTTTCGTGATTCCATCTCGTTGAAAACGGTATTTGCTTCGGATATTGCTCCACATCTTGCGTACATGGTGATTAGGGAGTTATTCAGAGGGGTGTCTGGAATAACCGTCTTCTTTACCAACTGATGAATTTGCATGCCAAGATGCGGATCGGCTGTTTCGGCACAGATGCTGAGAAGTGAAGACAGAGTGTGCCGGTCGGGTTTCTCCTCTCCTTGGGCTTGCATGTGAACAAACAGCTCGATTGCTTCATTGAAACCTCCATTTTTTTCGTACCCAGCAATTATGGTATTCCATGAAACTCGATTCTTCCCGGGCATTCTCTGGAAAAACTCGAGCGCAGCCTCCATATTACCCACCTGGGCAAAGCCTGAGATTATCGAATTCCACGACAAGACATCGGGAGATTTCATTTCAGAGAAGAGCTTCAAAGCGGACTCCATATCAAATGCAAGAACATAACCACTAATCACCGTGTTCCACGTCACGGTGTCTCGACTCTCCTCCATCTGATCAAACAGATCCCTTGCACTAGCCATGTCTCCAGCTTTCACATATGACATTATCATCGAATTCCAAGAGACTACATTTCTTTCAGACCTTGTGTGTTGAGGGATAAGATCAAAAAGGCGCCGGGCATCCCCAATCCTTCCCTTCTGACCATACCCTGCAATCAAAGTATTAAAAGCATGAACCAAATCTACTTTTGTGTCTTGCGCATACTTTAGTAAAATCTTTTCGGCCTTGTCCAGTGCATTGTATTGAATCAATCCGGACACAAGGGCACTGAAGGATGACCCATCACGCGTTGGCATACTTTCAAAAAGCTTGCAAGCTCTCTTCACATTGCCATTGTTCAAGAATCCCGTGATCATGGCATTCCAAGTGACGATATTCTTTTCCGGCATACTCTCAAACAGCCTCAAAGCATCGCCCAGCCTCCCATTCTTTGCGTACCCACTAATCATGGTATTCCATGAGACGAAATCCCTCTTGGGCATTTTGTCAAACAGGTGTCTGCCTTCTTCCACATGCCGACAGGAAAGGTAACCTGAAATCATCAAATTCCACGACACAACATCCTTCCAAGGCATTTCATCGAACAGTAACCGAGCATTCGTAATCTCCCGCCGTTTGACATACCCTCCGAGCATAGAATTCCAGGTTACAGTGCTTCGCGAAGGGAGTTTATCGAAGAATGTGCGAGCATCCTGAAGCCGACCAACTTGGATTAGTTCCGTGATCTTTCTATTAGCAGCTCGAATTTCTTGAGGAAGTTGGGACGGACTAGCTTTCAAAGTCGAGAATATTCTATCAGACTGGTATTGCCATTGTTGTCTGCAACAGAGACTACGCCGGAGCATAAGTGAAGTAGTAGTTTTTTTGCAAAGCAAATGGAACAACCAAAACGCCGGCTAACGGTTCACGTGGACGGAGGGCTCGCGAACAGGTTGCTGCGGGGAGATCGACGACGAACCTGCTGCAACTCTCGGCAACGGCGAACCTCGAGGCGGCTCGCGTGGTGGCTGAACGTGTTGGATCTATTTGGGATTAAATATGTGTAATTAATACATTGGATCATTGTATTGTTTAACCAAATTAAGTGATCAAATTTTGTATATTGACTAAGGAACTTAATTTGAATTGTGGAATAACTAAATGTGGACATGCGGTAAAATTATTATTTGGTGACGTAGCAAATAATAATATTAAACTAAAGGACCTAAATAACATATAATTGGGTCAAAATTATTTATGGATGGAGTCCCCAAAAGCCGTAAAAAATAAAGGGGCATTCATTAAAATATTGTTTATCTTCTCAATTATGAATTCTTCTCTTCAAAGTTATCAGATCAATTAATGATCTATTAATGAAGAGAAGTTGAAAGTCATTATAGCAATTAATCTATACTTATATTAAAAGTTATACTATTTACTAAATGTAGTATGCAGAATAGTCAACCTTAATTAATGATTTGCTATTTTTATCAATCATTTAATTAATGCATCTAATATTTTTGGTATGCAAATCAAATTAGCATTTAATTAATTCTTAAAATATTGGATATGCAATATTAATTTAGGAATATCCATGTAGTTCCTAAAATGTTGGTATGCAATACGTAAAAGAAGATTTTTTAATTTTTTTAAATATAAAATATTGCAACACGTAAAACTATTCCAGTTATTTTTTTATTTTATTTTACATATAAAATTTAATCAATATTTAATGTATCCTACAAAATTAGATTTAGTTCAATTCTCCATACAATTGGTTGTAACTTTTTCAGTTGTACATTTATTTATTTATTTATTTTACACTTTTAAATTAATGAAGCTCTCCGAACATTATTAGGTAGTTTCAAACATTATTTGTGAATAATATAGAATATTTTAGATGCTTTTATAGATGTTATAAAATATTTTAAGTATTTTTAATATTTATATATCACACTTAAAAAGAATATTTTGCCAAAAAAAAAAAAATTAAATACACATTGTAAATGTTAATAAAAACAGTCTTCAGTATTCATCTTTGATTTTGTCAAAACAAATCTCATAAAATCGGTGAAGTCAAAATTTGTACGTAAAGTCTATCTATACTAAAAAAAGGTAGATTCAAAATTCTTTATCTAATTTCTTCTTTTCCTTATGTAATTCCTTCTTATTATCTAATTGTATAGAAATCTGTTCTGATTTTGTTCAATCCTCTAATTGTATTTGTATCATATCCCATAAAATCGGTTTAACAAAAAAAATCCCATAACATCCGATAAGTAAAAAAAAGTACGTAAAATCTTTACTAACATAAAAAAGGCTTTATTTATTATCTAATTTATTATCTAAATGTATGGAAATCTGTTCTGATTTTATAGTACGTACTACAAATTGTGCACCCGTGTTCAGGAGCTACTTAACGGGCAAGCTATGTGGAAATAACTCATTTAGTGCTTCTGTCCCGTGCATAAGGTATATATTTGTATTACACATACTATAAAATTGTGCACCTCGTGCATCGCACGGACTCTGTATTAATAAATGACCTTAAAATTGTGCACCCCGTGCATCACCCGTGTTCACATTTTGGCCTATTACAAGTCACGTACTATATATATCCCGTATATTTTTTTTTTATTCATTTATATAATTATAAGACTTGATAAATAGTCTTAATTTTGTGCACCCCGTGCATCGCACGGGATCTGTACTAGTGAAGATAAACAATGAATCCCAACATTTGTCTATATAAGACAATTTCATTTCTTTCTTCATGCGTCGAGAAGAAAACTAAGGAAAATAAGGAAAAATAAAGTTCACGGTCTTTTGCAAGATTTCCAAATCCCAAATTAAATTTTAAGTTATAAAAGGATCAAGTTCTAAAGGAATAAATCAACATGAATCCATCAGATACGCTTCCGCTATTCGGTTATGATTCTCAATTATTCAATATGAATGCTCCTGGGATTAATCGATTTATTTCGAATAAAGTTAAATCCAATTCTAACAGAACGGACACGAAAGGTACTTGTCTCGGCTCGCGGCTGTTGTCCGAGGTGGCTCGAACGACGGCGGCTGAACGGAAGGTCGCCGGTGGAAGAGGGGCTCAAGGTCGTGGTTCGCTGCTCGTGGTCGGGCGACGTGGTTGCCGTTAAATTGGAGTTCCGGTCGTCGGTGGCTCGGGTCTGATTGGCCACGACTAAGGCCAGCCCTCAGCCGTCGGAAATCGGGTGGCTCTCGGAATTTGCTGTTCTTGGTCGGGGTTGCTCACGGCAGCTGTTGTTGGTCGCAGAAGAGGGTTCGCGATGGGTGGTTCGCTGCGTGAGGGGCTCGTCGCTGGTGGCTCAACGCTGACGAATGTTGATGTTCCACGGCTACGGTTCTCGGCGAGGCTGGGACGCCGGCGGATCTGCAACGGTTTCTTTGTGCGTGAGGTTCAATTATGTCGAGAAGGGAAGAGAGGGCTCTGGTGAGAAATTTTGAAGCGGCGGCATTTTGGAGGTAGTGAGATCGCTTTTTAAGTTAATTCTCATATTTGCATAAATTATAATTTAAATCATATAATATTCACATAAATAAAGCCAGCAATTCTTCAATATATAGGTAGATAGGGACGAACAGTTAATAAAATAAACGAACAAATAATTATAAACTAAAGGCAAATAATCAATTATAAGGCAAATAAATAATTATATAAAATCCAAAAAAAATTAATAAAGGAAAGGAACACTACATTTTGATATAATAAACTAGGAAGGTAATGGTTGTAGGACCGCAGCCGGCCAACGACTAATGTCTTACATGTTAGTTATGTGCTTGATTGTTTCAAAACTTTGTAATAAGAGTGTTTTTTTGCTCTATTAAGCATAACACGACTTAAATATCCAATTTTGTTTAATTTAAATACTTAGGCCAAAAGTGTCACTGACCTTACTTTAACTTTTTTTTAATGAGAAGTTGGAGCAAAAAAAAAAAAAAAAAATTATTTGTAATTCAAGTTATTCCTAAATGAGCTACATAAGACAACACTTAAAACATTACAAAAAAGATAAAAAATAAAAATAAAATAACCACCTGCGGAAGGAATAGTTCATTATTTCTTACCATCTTATATTTGTAGATCATAACTAATGTATATCCTCTTATATTTGTAGATCATAACTAATGTATATCCCGTGCGATGCACGGAAGAGTTCATATTTTAAACATTTTTGGACTTTATTTTAAATATAATTATTTATATTTTTTACATCTCGTCTATTATGAAAATAAAATAAATACAATCAATGAAAAATATATAATATTAAATACTTTTCTTTATACAATATTTTTTATTTAAGAAATATTATTAAACCTTACGGTTTTAATTTTTTTTTTTAAATCAATAATCCAAAATATATGATTGTTAACGTACAAAAAATAATGGAAATAATCCAGACTTTAAAGTAAAACTATTTTTTATTATTTTACAAATAAAAATCTTTCAAATTTTTTTTTAATTTCAAAAAAAATTTGGCAAGCTTGATAAAATCAAGTTATACAAATGATTAAATAGTTAAAATGTTATATTAATTATATTTTAAGAAATCCGATTATATAAAAATGGGTAAAAAAATATTATACTAATTAGTTTGTTAGGATTGTGATTATATGAAAGTTAAAATAAAATGAAATGTAACCAAAAAATTTGTTCGTGGTTTTTTCCTAAATGTTTGAATTTAAAAATCTAGTAACCAAATTTACATTATATCACGTAAGGAAAAAAATAAATAATAAATATTTATTAAAGAGATAAATCAATAATATTTATCACTTAGATAATAAATAATAAATATTTACATGTAAAAAAATAAATAATAATATATTTAAAAATATAAGTCAGAATTTCAAATAAAGTAAAAGGAGGGATAACTCATTAATTAAAAAAAGTTTCTAAATATTTAATATATTGATAAGTATCTCCATAAGAATAATCATACCATTTTAATTTTAAAAAAATTGACAAGTTTGTTAGAGAGATAAATCCGGTTAGACAAATGATTAATTTGTTAAGATATTATATTAATTGTATCATAAAAAATCGGTTAGATAATATAGATAAAAAAAAATATAATACTAATTAGGTTGTTAGATATGTGATAATGAAAACCAAGATAAAATGAAATTTACCCAAAAAAATTGTTTGGAATCTTTTCCTTTAAATGTTTGAATTTACAAATTTAATACCGAAATTCTATTATATAAAAATAAATAATAAACGTTTATTAATATATTAAAATATGTAATTTTGAATTTCATATAAAGTAAAAAGTATGCTTATTCAAATTTATTTTTAAAATAAAAGTTATGATAAACATTTATTGATTCTCTTTCAAATATATTAATAAAATAAAAATATAAATCTAAACAAATTTTGAAACAACAAAAAAAATCGGATTGATTGGCATAAAAGAAGGAAGTGAAATCGGATTTGAATGCTAAAATCGGAACACCTTACCAAATTGAATGCTAAAAGATTCGATTTGATTGGTTACCTAATTGCATGGGCTGAAAAAATTCAAAAAAAAATTTTACGAATTGAAGAAGCGGGAAAACACTATATTGAAGTGAGAAAACGAAATGATTATTTTTGGATTGTTCAAATAATTTTTCTTCTCCGTATTATATAGTAATAGATAAAAAAACATTAAGATAGTTTTGTGGTTTTCCCAATATACAAACGTTTTATAAATTTAAATAAGAAATATACATAAGAAGCATAACAAATAATTTAAACTTAGTTCCTTATGTAACAAAGGAGGCAAAACAAACACCGTACGACAAATTCCAAGCACTTCACATTTGCAGCTTGAAAACCTACATGTTAACTATTCAAATTAGTATTTAACTGTTCTCTTTTGGGTAGCAATTACAAAGAATAAAGTGAAAACGAACCTGGTCCTGAGGCGCAGCCCTTTCGAGGGAATTTGGGTGGCGAACTCATTGCTTGCCGACCGGAGTGTGTGCGGGACCGCGGGTATATGAGCTCCGACGCCGACCTGAGGCGCAACCCTTTCTTTAATTTATTTTATTTTATACTTTAGTTATTAGTTAATTAATAAGTTTGATATTTTTATTTATTTACGAAATGAGGGTTTGGATTGGGGTGGTTGATATAATTAGTGGGCCTCTAATTTCTCTTAAATATATCATAAATGGGCTAATGAAATGAGCTTGGATTGATTCATTGGATTTTGCTCATTGACTCCGGAGAAAAGGGGAAAAATTTATTGGGATGAAACTATTTTTATTATTTTTCTTTTCTATTTTCTTCCAAATTCTTCTTCTTTTTCTATACAAAACTGCAAATGAGTTGAGTAGAACTCAATTTCCTGATATTCAAGTTTAGACTCGAACCCTTGACTAGTCGAACCGAGCTTGTTAATGCACTGATAAATAAATTCGAATTCAACTTGTCGACGAGTTTTAATTAATCAAAATTAAATCTCAACGAATTGATACATAATAAAAAAAGTACTTAAAAAATTCTATCTGTCAAGTCTTAACCGAACTTAGCTCAAGCTCAAATATGACTCCTATCAAACGAGTCGAGACAAGCTCGAACTTTAACGAGAAACTCACGAACGGTTGATTTAAACATTTATTTTTTAGGTCGTCTCACATTTCTTCTCTTATTTCTTTATGTTTTCTTAATGGTAACATATCCAACATATCACATATTTTTTATTTTAAAGTAATCATATTTTTCAAATTAAGGTGCACAACCTAAATACTCAAACACATAAGTTAGTTTTAATTAGTGAATCACCTTCAAGACATACTGTCCCATTTGAACTTTTTCCTCATCTTCACGTTAAGAAGTTGCACACAACTATGACAACGTGCGACCTTCATCTTCAATAAAAAATTTCCCACAATAGTAATGGCACCCCACGTTTTCTTGCTTCTTGACTCCTATTATAAGTGTCGGAATATAACATATATACATACTATTAGATTGAAATACAATACTCTAAAATTAATATTAAAAAATATGATATTTCATAACATAAATATTAAAATATACCATTTTTTTTGTTAAAACCACTTCTCACAACGCTTTATTAAAAATGGCAAAGAAATTAGTGGTTCTTTTTCAAGTTATTTTTATGGCTTTTGGCTCATGTTGGCATTGGGAGATTTGATTAGTCCTGGTGAAGCTAAGAAAAAAGAAGGGGCACTCTTTGTTTTTGGAGACTCATTGGTAGATAATGGCAACATAATTACTTGCTGACTAACTGCTAGGGCCGATGCTCCACCTTACGGCATCGATTACCCTTCTCATCGACCTACGGTTCATTTTTCGAACAGGCGTAACATTCCAGATATTAGTAAGTCATGTATATTTTCATTTGTGTGGAAAAACCTCAAAGGATAAAAAGAACATTGTTCATTATGAGACAATCTAATATTTGTCTAAATTATATGTAAGAAAAAGTATTATTTTTAATTGGTGTTTTATGACTTAAAAAATAGGTGAACACATGGGCTCGGAGCCCACATTGCCATACTTGAGCCCACAGCTTAGAGGGCCCAGATTAAGAGTTGGTGCTAACTGTGCTTCTGTTGGAGTTGGCGTGCTTAATGATACTGGAATTCAGTTGGTAAGTATTCTTTTTTCTTTTGAATAACATTGAAAAGAAAGTGCCAAGAAAGAACAATAATTATTGTGTTTATATTTAGTGTGGGGTTAACAAATTAAAATTTAAAATTCTAAAAGCTCGATTTTGTTATTTTTAATGTAATTTTACGTACGAGTTAAAAGAGTAGTACATCTAGTGACAACATAAAATAACTATCTATTTGTACCGTTTCGAAAGAAAGTACTACATTTTATACGTTTTTTCATCATAAATTGAAATTATCTATGTAATTCTGACCCATTAAACAGATTGACAATAATTTCTGCCTAAGAAAAACCAAATAATGGAGCATTTTTAATTTTTTGTAGGTTAATGTAATTAGGATATATCAACAACTGGATTATTTTAAGAAGTACCAACGGAGATTGAGAGCACTGATAGGAGAAGAGGAGGCTGAAAGACTTGTGGCCGAGTCATTGACTCTGATCACTTTAGGTGGAAACGATTTTGTCAATTATTACTATTTGGTCCCTTACTCTGCAAGGTCTCGCCAATTTACCCTCGAAAATTATGTGCCCTTTGTCATATCTGAGTATGAAAAAATTATTGCAGGTAACATATTTTATGTACATTTTTTAAATACCTAATATTCAAATCGACAAAATTGGACAAGTCTGTTAATGAGCTAGCGAATAATGTTACGTTGTACCTAAAATTCAAATTGACAAAATTGAACAAATTTGCTAAGTGCTAATAAGCTAGCGAATAATGTTACGTTGTATCTAAAATTCAAATCAAATCGACAAAATTGGACAAGTATGTTAATGAGCTAGTGAATAATGTTAAATTGCACCTAAAATTCAACTCGAAAAAATTGGACAAGTCTGCTAATGAGCTAGCGAATGGTGTTGCGTTGTACCTAAAATTCAAATCGACAAAATTAAAAAAGTCTGTTAATAAGCTAGCGAATAATAATGTTACATTAGATATGCAGAGACTTTATAGCCTTAGGGCTCGTCGGGTGATTGTGACGGGGCACGGGCCCACTAGGGTGCGTCCCGGCCGAGTTGGCGCTGCATAGTAGAAACGGCGGGTGTGCTGAAGAGCTTCAAAAGGCAACCCAGCTGCTTAACCCTCAGCTCAAGAGTATGCTTGGAGAGCTTAACGATGAGATTGGACACGATGTTTTTATTGCAGCTAATACGAATCAAATGCACATGGATTTCTATCTCTGAACCTACACGTTTCTGTATAAATCTCCGCTTATTTATATATATGTTTGTATATAATTGCAGAGTTTTCCGAATTTAGGTGTCAATTTTTGGTGCTTTTTCGATTTTTTATTTTATATCTAACTTCAAATTTAGGAACAATGTGATTGATTGGATTTTTATATTGTCTTTTTTATTTTTATTTTTTTCATTTTAGTTGTAATTTGTGTTGGGTATATGTGTGTGGGCAGGATTTATAACCTCAAAGATAGCTTGTTGTGGGCAAGGCCCATACAATGGGCTGGGCCTTTGCACACCACTCTCAAACTTGTGTCCAAACAGAGATTTATACGTCTTCTGGGATCCATTACATCCATCTGAAAGGGCCAATAGAATTATAGTCCAGCGTATCTTGAGAGGCTCTGAAGAGTACATGAAGCCCATGAACCTCAAGCACCATTATGGCTTTGGACTCAAGGGCTTTGAAAATGTCATTGGATTTTGGAACAACCGTTCATAAAAGTAGCTGCCAATATTCAATTCACCTTTGGGTTACCAACTCAAGTGTGTTTTTATTTCCCTTTAGCTGCCAATATTCATTTTTTCATGTATTTTGCAGTTGCCTGAAATTATTTGTACGTTGCTATTAATGCTTGTCTTTGTATGGGATCGTAATCATCAAATTCTATTGAAGTTATAAATAACGAGGATATCTGTTGTTAAATATCCTATTTTTTCTCAGGTAATAAAGTTGAGGATTATTTGTATTTTTATTTTCATTTTCTTATATGGAAAAAAGTGGAACTATACTGTTAATATATGCTAAAAAAATGCATTAAAATAAATATGAGGAGGATACATTGAGAAATCAGGGGACAATCATCAATAATTATAAGTGGACTATTTTAACTGCACACATATCGTGAAAAACTTAAAATACTCCAATATTCTTTCTAAAATCAAACTTCTATCTTGTCATATAAAAATATACTAAATTATCTCTTCTTATTTTTATTATCTCATTTTATGACTCTTAGGATCGTGCCACTTTCAATCATTTTTATGCTTCTACAAAGTGCAAATTTCGTGAACCTGAATACACATATTCACAGCATCAAGAGGATTATTTTTAATTAATACAGCATGCTGTAAATTGCTATTGAGATCTTATAAAATATTGAAGCAAAAAAAAAAAAGCAATATAATCAAAGTCAAATTTTCTAATTTCTCTTCTTAATTAGACCCCATATCCATTTTTGTCCCTCTTGTTTTTTTTCCCCTTATTCATTTAAAGATGAATAGATGATCAGTTCTTTTGTCACTTTATGAGAAAGTGTATCTTATCAATGGCAATCGCAGAAAGAGAGCTTTTATTAAGAACTCATCCAATTCTTATAAAATTATTATTATTTATTGTCCTTTTCTCTATGAGATGTTTGGCCTTTACAAATTCAGTTAACTACACAAAGCACAACAGTCACCTAAGCAGCTGGAGAATAGCCAGGATTAAGAGACGCCTGGACAAAATTAACAAGCCACCAGTTGTCGCCATTGAGGTATGTGAAAAAATATGAGACACCAAAAATTGATTTATAAATGATTGTCCCATTTTTTATCACATCAAAGAACGAAAACGCGAACTGGTGTATTATGTAATAAGCTTTTGTTTTTATTATCACTAGTACACTAGCCGAGTGGTTGATAAAATAATTAAATATACAATAAAAAATAAAAAAAAATATATATATTTTGTTGAAGTTGAAAAAATAAATAAAGAACAATATATAATAATTTATAATAAATAATTAAGTAAATCAACAATATTATTTTAAATTCTGAAAACTAATTTATATACATCATTGATTTTATTTATAATATTTTCATTTAAAACACATAAGGGAATAATATGAACAAAGCACAAAATTTGGAAAATGAGATTATATGCACATTATAGAAAGAAGATAATAAATAGATTTATATGGAATGATTAAAATATATTCAATGTGTGTTTATATATATATGGTAATCTGAGCCGAAGTTATTTGTTATAAAAATTTAATAAATTTTATTCAAACCATATTACACAGCATAATATTTTGTCATGTAAAATTACGAAGCGTGCAAAGTTGCCACATAGACTGAATGTGTTATGCAATTATATATAAGGGGGATTATCAAGAGTTTTAATTTATATCATATATATAAAAAATGAATCTCATTTTTTTTTTAAAAAAATAATCCTAACTTTTGTTCAAAATTTTTTTAGAGCCCGGATGGTGATATAATAGATTGTATTCGTAAAAGGAAACAACTGGCTATGGATCATCCAATTTTGAAGAATCACAAGATCCAGGTAATTTGTCATTTTTGTGTAGTTTGTCATATATTTATTCAGGAGTAACTATTACGAACTATGGAGGCCATACTTGACTTTTTTTTGAGGTGATTTGATAAACAAGCTTGATGCACTCAAACCGTAAGGAGCAGAATTATACTAAAAGTTATGAAAAATAGGTAAAACTCTTACTTATAATGTCTAACGAGATGTGTTGAGCCAAACTCAGACGCTTAAAGAGCGATGTTATGATAAAAATTCATAAAACTACCGGAGAACTCTTATTTATCATGCCTAATGAGCTGAGTCGAGTCAAGGCGAGCTCATTAGCATCTATCGTATCGTTTAACAACTCTTATTTGTGTATACATGAAATATTGCTATTTGTGTTGCATAACAAAGTGATGATACCAATAAAAAGATTACAAAAAAGTTGATTTGTTGGGTAATATCGAATAGGGTTCTATTAGTAATATTTTTTCCACATATAATCTCTTAGAGCATCCCACCAAAAATGCCTAAGGCAACTAAAGTGGATGGAGCAAACACCACTAAAAGGGCCGATGGACACAAACGATTATGGCAAATGTGGCATCAAACTTGCCGTTCGTGCCCAAATGGGACTGTGCCGGTCAGGCGTATCACGGTTCACGACGTGCTTAGAGCCAAATCTTTGTACCGTTTTGGCAAAAAACGAGCATTTAGGGCTCCGTCTCACGCCAACTATACCCGCCTTACGGGTGAAAACAACCATATTTCCGTTGCCAATAGCCACAATAGCCACGAGGTACGATTGCATGAACTTTTACTAATCGTATGTGTGTTTTTTGTCGTTTTTTTTTTTAACTCAATTTCTTCATTTTTTTAAAAAGTACGCGGTGGCATACACCACGTTTCCAGAAGGGATATACGGGGCAAAAGCGGGAATTAACTTGTGGGACCCGACCGTGAAGTCACCATACGAGTTTAGTCTGTCACAAATTTGGGTTGCCGCTGGCTCGTACCATAACTTGGACCTCAATACCGTTGAAGCTGGTTGGCATGTAACTAATCAATCCATTTTTCTTTGTTGTAAATATAATTACTTAGTGCTAGGCGATTTGGGTTGTATTTGGATTCACAAGTTGGATTTAAACACAAAAAAATAACTTTACTAATTTTTTCTATTGTAACCATTTACTCGTCAGGTTGATCCGCAGTTGTATGGTGACAATAGGCCAAGATTATTCACCTTTTGGACGGTAACTTAATTTTGATCCCTCCCTATCTTTTCCACTTCAATTCATCAATATATTAAATTTTCAAATTTTAATTAGCAAAATATTGCAGAAAGATGCATATCAATCTACAGGATGCTACAATCTATTGTGCTCAGGGTTCGTGCAAGTAAGCAACCAAATACTAGTTGGAGGTGCAATTTCCCCCTTCTCCACCCTAGGTGGACCTCTATATGAGATTGTCATCACCATCTTTAAGGTAGGCAAATTTTTACTATTCACAAATATATCCACTCTATTTATAACTCTATTATCTAAGCATTTACAACCTTTGTTGAGTTGCACAAAAGTTTGATAATGATGATTCCTTACTTAACTAGACTACTTTGTATTTATGTGATCTTATTATATTATTGTAGGTAATATAAATGGTTTGACCTCTTATCCGTTTTAACTGTGTTACATAATAATTTGTGATTTGAATATTATATCTTTTGGTACAAAATTAGATAAAATTAATGGGCATATCTTATGTGACTAAAAGCAAATATATATAACAGATGGCCAACTCTTAGAAGTTAAAACATAATTTTGACAAAGTGACCAAAAATCCCCAGTGTTATATTTTGCAGGACCCAGAAAAAGGAAATTGGTGGCTAGCCCTTGGTGATAAACCTGTGGGCTACTGGCCCAGTGAGCTATTCTCCCACCTGTCGGATCGGGCCACCGTGATTGAGTGGGGAGGTGAGATTGTAAACTTACGGGCCCAAAATCAACACACGGCTACTGATATGGGCTCGGGCCATTTTGCAGAAGCTGGTTATGGAAAAGCAAGTTATTTCCGAAACCTGGAGGTAGTAGGCTGGGAAAATAAGTTGGGCCCAGTCCATGTCATTAGAACAAGTGTTCGGTACCCAAATTGCTACAACATAAAGAAATTCAGTAATAATAAATGGGGTACATACTTCTATTATGGTGGGCCAGGGAGAAGCCCAAAGTGTCCCTGATCATGTAGAAAAATAAGAAAACCGACAGGAAACTAAAAATATATGCCAAATTCAATTATCCTCTCGTTCTCTTATCACATTGGAGGTGTAGAATTACTGCTATTGACTGTTATTATGGCCCTTATTTGGATAATTGAGCAGTACAAACTTCAATATTCATTCTTTGTGGGACACCTAATAAGCCCGCTGCTACTCAATTCATAATACTTTTTTGTATCTCAAAATGGTTCAAGAGGCTTAAATATTTATAGTCTACAACTCAAAATTCTTATATCATTAATTAGTTAGTAAATAATCCTATAATATTAAATGTATCATATTAACAATCTCTCACATTACAGTAGTGGACGAATATGGAGTCTTCATATGTCAATTACAGAATTTTGTTTCTATAACAATATTCGTATGTGGAATTATTTGGAGTACGACCGCAAACAAATGAAATGGCTCGCAAGGCGTTTGAATTAAGGCTATAGGTATTAAACAAACTGTATGTGAGCTTGACTTAACTCGATTCATTTGATTAATGAGTCGAGCTCGAGCTTAAATAAAGTTCGTTTAGTTAACGAGTCGGCTTGGGTCGCTTAGTTAAGAAGCCGGTTCATTAAAAATCGAAATTAAGATTTGTTATTGTGAGAATTGGGGGTGACGAATGCGGTCCAACGCCTATGAAGCGCAAAACAGGGTGAGCCTTGATGAGTCATAGTGAGGTTTCATCTAAAAATCAATTGGTGATAGGAGGAGTACCCCACTAAGCTTATAAGTTAAACCTACGTTCCATATATAAACGATGTGGGACAACTCACAAGTGATATTCTAACAGTTATATAATTTTATATAGTTCAGCTTGTTAAGACTTGAGTTTAGCTCGTTACGGCTTGAGCTCGAATTGTTAATATTGATAAATGAGTCGATATCAAATCGATTACTAGTTTGTCTATGAAGAGAGCTGAGCTCAGTTCGTTAATGGCTCGAGCACAAGCACCATGAGATCGGGCTCGGTTTGACTCGTTTACTAGTTAACCATGGTCGAGCTCAAGTGAACTCAAACTTGGACAAGACCCATACAATTGGCTGGTTGCACACCAGTCTAAAACTTGTGTTCTAACAGAGATTTATACTTCTTCTGGGATCCAATAACTGGTATATTTTCGCTATATGCTCATTTTAACTGGTATTTTTCAGCTGCCGACTATAATTTGTATTTTGCTATTAATGCTTGCCTTTCTATGGGACCTTAATCATCAATTTTTTCTAATAAATTATAAATAACGAGGTCAGTTTGTTGTTAATCTCACGTTTTTTTTTTCAAATAATAAAGTAGAGGATTTTTTTAGTATTTCTATTTTATTTTATTATATTATCTTGAGAAAAAAGTGGAATAATATGGTAAATATACGCTAAAAACTAAAATCAAAAAATATGAGGACACATTGAGAAATTAGGGCACAGTAAGTAATTAACCTTTCTTCATTAGGATTATTTGAGATATTCTAAAATAGTATTATAATTGAGATATTCTAAAATAGTATATAATCAAAGGGGGAAAATGTTTCTTCATGACTATCATCGTGAATTAATATCAAGCAATCTGTTGGTCAAAGTCAAAATTTCTCATTTCTTTTCTTAATTAGACCTCATATCCATTTTTTGTCTCTCTTTCAATTATTTATTTATTTAAAATTCAGTTCTTTCGTCACTTTACGAGAAGTTTATCAAATGGCTTCAATTCACTTTCTCATGAAATTATTATTTTTTATTGTCTTCTTCTCTATACGATGTTTAGTCTTTACAAATTCCTCGAACTACACAAAACACAACAGTCGGTTAAGCAGCTGGGGACTAGCCAGGATTAGAAGACATTTGGACAAAATTAACAAGCCACCAGTTTTTACCATTGAGGTAATGTTAAATTTTAGCTAGCCTACAAATTTAAACCTTTTTTTGTGTGTTTTTATTATCAAGAGTTTTAATTTACAACATTTAAAAGAATCTCAAACTAAAAGATTTATATAGTTTTTCAGTTTCCATATTTACATTCACATCGTATTTAATTGATCCTAACCTTTGTGCTCAATTTTCTTCAGAGCCCAGATGGAGATATAATAGATTGTATTCATATAACAGAACAACCAGCTATGGATCATCCACTTTTGAAAAATCACACGATCCAGGTAATTCTTCATTTTATTCTGGTGTATCTATTACCAAGCTAGCCGTGCTCGAACATTAAAGAGTGTTAAAAGTTGAAGAAATTACGTAAAACCTCTTATTTATATATCATGCCTAAAGAGTTAAGTATATATTAAATATCGGTAATCGTGATATAATATATTGCATTCTCACAATAAAACAACCAGTTATAGATCATCCACTCTTGAAACATCACAAGATACAAGTAATTTGTCAATTTGCAACTATATCAACCATGTATGAAAGTACTTAATTATCTTACTATATGAATTTAGGGTTCTAACAAATAATAATAGTATTTGTTTCCACATATAATCTCTCAGAGCATCCCACCGGAAATGCCTAAGGCGACTAAATTGGAAGGAACGAACACTACTAAAAGCGCCGATGGACACAATCGAACATGGCAAATGTGGCATCAAACCGGCCATTCGTGCCCAAATGGGACTGTGCCGGTCAGACGTATCACGGTTCACGACGTGCTTAGGGCCAAATCTTTGTACCATTTTGGCAATAAACGAACACATATTTTCAATCGAAATAGCCACGAGGTACATATATTACATGTCTTTTTCGCATTTTGAAATGAAAGGAATCCTATATGATTAGAAAAATCAAGAGTTATTCACCATGATATTATGATTTTCTTTTTTTTTCCTTTGGCATTCAACCTTTTTTATCATATGATTGTGTGTGTGTGTGTTTTTTTTTTTCTATTATTATTNATACAAAAGCACGCAGTTGCATACACCAAGTCATCGGAAGGGATTTACGGCGCAAAAGCGGGAATTAACTTGTGGGGCCCATCCGTGGAGTCAAAGGGCGAGTTTAGTCTCTCACAAATCTGGGTTATGGCTGCCTCATTCGGCACAGACCTTAACAGCATCGAATCTGGTTGGCAGGTGACTAACACACAATTTGTTGCAGTCTAAGTTGGCGATTCGTGTTGTATTTGGACTTTACGGCCGGATCCGAACAAGTAGGGTTGAGCAAAATCGAGCCAAACTGTGTGCAGCGATTTTGTACCGAAACCGAACCAAAATGAATAAAATATATGGAAAAACCAATATAAAACCGAGAATCGAGTCCAACTATTTTGTTTTCTTCGGTTCGGTTATTCTAGAGTAGAAAAAACGTTTCGATTTCTTCTAAATTGCAATGCAGTTCGGTTAAATTTTTTTTTTTTTTTGTAGGTTCAATTTCGTCTTTCAATCAACCGTACTGCTGCTTATGCCTTTGAACAAGTAATAACATTATTTTTATGATTGTATTGATGTATTGGTCAGGTTGATCCACAGATGTATGGTGACAATAGGCCAAGATTTTTCACGTATTGGACGGTAACTAATTCATTTTGATCTCTATGTTATTTCTCACTAAAATGCAATTATTAAGTTGTCAACTTATAATTATTCCATACAAATTGCAGAAAGATGCATATCAAACTACAGGATGCTATAATCTATTGTGCCCAGGGTTCGTGCAAGTAACCAAGCAAATAGTAGTTGGAGGTGCAATTTCCCCAGTCTCAAACGTAGGGGGCATATGTCTGAGGTTACCATTACCATTTGGAAGGTATGGAATACTTTATTATAAGGAAAAAAATAGAAACATGATATATATATATATATATATTAATTTTATATAATTAATATATATATAATTTTATAAAATTAAATTAATTAATAAATTCAACAGTTGACCTAATATTGACTTATTGTATTGACATAGGTCAATACTCATGAGCTGATGTTGTGATACGTAAATATACCAATAAAATTATTCTAATGGCAATTCCAATGGATATTTTAATGCTATTATTTTTGTTGGAATTTTCAATAGATTCCAACGAAAATTCCAACAAAAATATTCCGTTGGAATGAGTTTTTCATTAGAATTTTCATTGAATTTTTACGATTTCAACGGTAAATTTTTGAACAGGAGTGGAAATAAAAATTCCAACGAAAATTCCTACGGTAAAAAGTCGTTGTAAATATAGTAGTTGGATTCATCAAATTTCATCTAAAATTTCATTGAAAAATACATTCCAACGGAATGTTTCCGTTAGAATAATTCTAACAAAAACTATACCATATGAATATCCGTTGGAATTTTCATTGTAATATATTAATTACCATAGGATTTTCAGTTGGAATATAACAATTTTATTGTAGTGTAATTAGTTGTGTGTATAATACTATGTTATCCATGTAATAAATAATCGATGTTAGGATGGAGAAAGTAAGCTACAAATAAAATAACATTATTGCAATCAAATCACATACATAACCTTAGATAAATGACAATAGCTGTAATTGTATATACTTTTTTTAAGCATTTCTTGGTAATTTAAATTCGTGTGAAAGTAAATTACAAATAAAATAATAAATATTACAGAAATCAAATAACATATATAACCTAAAACAAATGACTATAATTGCAATTGTATACTTTTTAACAATTTTTGGTAATTAAAATTTGAGAAATCTTTGTGAAAATTTTTATATATCTATACTTATATAATAAGAATTAACATTTATCCAAAATAGTAGGTAAAATTATGGTCAATGTCGGATTTGCATTAAATATTTTTCAAAATTGGTAAGTTTTTGTCCTTTTCACACTTCTAATTAATTATGTCCTTTTCACACTTTTCATTAATTATGTTCTTTTCACACTTCTCATTATTTATGTCCTTTTCACACTACTCATTATTTATGTCCTTTTCACAATTCTCATTAATTATGTCATTTTCACACATCTAATTAATTCATTAATTACGACATAATTATCATAAATCATTCCATCTGAGCTTTTATCGTTAAAATGTATAGCGATCTGTTATGACCTTATCCCATTGATATTTCCATAAAGCGTCCTTATCGCGTTCTATTTTTTGGTAACCACTCTATATCAATAACCGGATATTTGGTTAATGATAACACACGTCTTTATTTCAAGGAGCGGATATTCTTTGACCTTTAATTAATCTGGACTGATTGTTTTGACTTTTCAATTTTTAAAAACTCTTTTTTTAAATATTTCGGCTTAAGATTCAGATTTCATTATACAAGTCATCGGATTGTTTGAATGAAAATGAATGAAAAGAACACCAAAAACAGGTAGCCTTATTCATATAACCAATTCTAAAATATTAGTTTGTTCACAAAAAAGAGACAAATCCTAGAAATCCTAAAACATTAGTTTGTTCACCAATCCTAAAATATTATTCTGTTCACCAAAAATATTAGTTTGATTTTTAGGATTTCTCTTTTGAAAATATTAGTTTGTGATAATGAGGAGTTACCAAATAATCAAACTCATAATGTTGTGTACAAGGAGGTTTTTAATAATATATGATTGTTACCGAACTTTTTATGATTCAACAATATTCCTATGTATTTTAATGATTTCAATTTCGATCCTAATCCACGTGAGGTTATATTATTCTTCCAAATTTTACATCCCGTGCATCGCACGGGTTACGTACTAGGTTATATAAAAAACTGTTAATCTATACAAAATATTAGAAGTCAAGAATCACCGCTATAAAATATTCTTTTAAGTAAAAGAAAAAATTATCGGGCATGTCTTACGTGAGTCGTGACAAACATTGTTGCTATTTGGGATGCAAACACATAAATGTAGAACAAATAGACACTTCTAAAAAATCATTCTTTAATATTGGACCAAAAATTCCAATTAAAATCTGAAAAAGTTACTTGGTTAACCTGTAAATCTTAAATTTTCTGTACATTTATGAAGTTTTTCTTAAATTACAAATATATTTATTATTTAACTTTCACGATTTATAAATAATTAATTTGTGGTTTATTTTTAACATGTGATATATTTTGTAGGACCCAAAAAAGGAAAATTGGTGGGTGTCCGTTGGCGATAAGCCTGTGGGCTACTGGCCCAGTACGTTATTCAACCTCTTATCGGACCGGGCCACCATGGTGGAGTGGGGTGGTGAGGTCGTAAACATGAGGGGCCCACAATCAACACACCTATACTGATATGGGCTCAGGCTATTTTGCTGAATCTGGTTACGGAAAAGCCAGTTATTTCCGTAACTTGGAGATTGTAGACTATGAAAACAGTCTGGGCCAAGTCCAAGTTACTGAATTAATTGTTACGGCCCCGAATTGTTACAACATTAAGACCTTCGGTACCCATACTAATTGGGGCACGTACTTTTATTATGGTGGGCCTGGGAGAAGCCCAAAGTGCCCCTGATCATGGAGGAAAACAAGAAAACAAGGAACCTAAAATTAATTTATATGCCCAAATCAATCCAATATTCCTTTGGTTTTCTTCTCAAATTTGAAGGTGTAGAATTATTATTATTAGTGGTATTAATAATTTCACTCAATGCAGCAGTGAATGAATGTGAAGTCTTGACATGTCAATTATAGACATAATACTTTAGTTTGAGTAACATTATGGTATATGTGGAATTTTTTTGGATAGGTTCGAATCGAGCACGAGCACTTCTAACTCAAACTCAAGCTAACTTATATATTCATAAGTTCGAGTGCTTGACGAGTCACTCGAATATAAATATAATATACCTAAATATAAGTCAACCTCAATTCGAGCGGAATTTCGATTATATATATATATATATATATATATATATATATAATCGAAAGTTTGAGGTGTAATCGAAAGTTTGAGGTGTATTGGATAAAAATTCGAGATCATGAAATTTGAGGCAATTTTTGCAGATTATACTTTAAGGGCATGTCTGTTAAAGTAGACGAGATTGGATAAAAATTATATTTGCTATCAAGATTGTCTTGTAGAGATGACACAAAGTCATTGGTTTGTTGTACATGATTGACACTAGATAAGATTTCAATGGTGGAGTGGGCCGTTGAGTTCGTAACCACAAAAATGGGCTTAGTCCATTTTTCATGACTGGATTTCAGCAAGCTATTTTCGAAACCAACATTGGATAATGGCTTGGATATGACTCTTTAGTTAATAGCTGAGATCGATTCATTGGGGCCACCAAGTACTGCTATGGTAGGCCTGGACAAAGCCCAATATACGCTTTCCAGACAACGCCCACATATGCTAAATTCTTTGATATTTTTTTTTTTTTTTAAATATACATTATAGGAGTAGATAAAACTATAATATATTAGTTTATTTTATTTTTTCTGTAAAATTAATTTTTTTGAACCTAAAACATGAATATACTAATAGCATCAAGAAGGTAAGGAAATACCATCATACCGAATAAAGAAAGTAATTATCATGAATGGCAATATATTTTGCAAAAAGATATTGAGATCATGTAAAAATATTGCAACTTAATTTCTGTAAAATTGTCTCCTTTAATTATTGCTACTAAGATTATCACGAAAACATTAAAACTAAATAATTTGTAGTATAATAAGTAAGAATATTAAATATAGGACCTTAAATCTGCAACATCCTTGTCACACATATATACCATTTTAATTAAATTATGATTCCATAATTGAAGATTATGTCCATTTTTGTAACTATTGATTTTTTTATATAAAGGTATCGGTTCTTTTGTCCCTTGTAATAGATAGAACTCAAAGTACATAGGCTTTTAGCAATGGCGATCATGCAAAGAGAAATTATTTTATTTTTTATTGGCCTTTTTTCTATGTCATGCTTGGCCTTTTCAAATTCCTTGAATGTAAGCAGCTTGAGACTAGCTAGGATTCAGACCTATCTACACAAAATTAACAAGTCACCAGTTATGACCATTGAGGTACGTTGATCGCCAATTTTATTTTAATTTTTAGAAAAATCATGCGTGATTACTAGTTATATAAGATCTGTTGATTTTAAATTAAGAGATGTGAAAAATATAATATTCAAATGTATTCATGGGGAAACATGCATTTGCTTTACGTAAAGATAGTGTTAATATTGTTTATGCTATTGATATAATATACTCGTT